GGTTCCAAGAATTTCACAAGCAGTTCAACTCGGGGACTGCTTACAGGAGTAAAAATGTTACATATAGAATTTGAATACCAACGACTGATTTGAAATGCCAGTATAACAGGAGTATGTTCTTTCCTCTAGTTATGGCAGCTATGAAGAACCAGACCCCAAATCCAACACGAGAGATACTAGTTTCAGCAGTATTGGAGGGTATGAGATCTCGGAGGAAGAGGAAGAGGAGGAAGAGCAGCGTTGTGGGCCAAGTGTATTAAGTCAGGTCCATCTCTCTGAGGACGAGGAAGACAGCGAGGATTTCCATTCCATTGCAGGAGACAGCGACCTGGACTCGGATGAATAGACCTCTCGGGAGCCTCCTGTTCCCTGAGCTGCCAGGCAGCCCAGGCTGCTCCTGGCTCATGAATTACCATCGTCCCAGTTTGGTGTAGGAAACAACACGGTGCAGTCTGTGTTAATATGAAACATTTTTTTAGTAGTAATTTTTATCAGTTCTTCAGCTTATTATGTGACTGAATAAATGGTGAAAAATAAGCTTTAGAGAAACAAGCCTGGCTGCAGTGTTGGCCTGGTATGGTCTCTACTACTTCTAGACTCCAGCTGAAGAGACCTGGAATGGTTCATTCTTTGGTCTTTAGAGATGTAAAGTAATTTCTGAACTTTAAGAGCCCTATGGATTCCAGCATGTCTACCAGGGAAAAATGGTTGCTCAGAATGAAACAGCTTTTTTTTTTTTTTAATAAAGCATTGTAAAGGATGGACTTTCCCCTTATGAAATGACAGTTACCCAGGAACACAGTATGAGTGGATGTGCTAGTAATTCAACTACCCAGAATGTTTCACTGAATGCCTGCCTTATTTTTTTTCTTTTTTTGAAGTTGCAACTGTCCCCAGAAATCAAAATTTCCCAAGCGGAGGAAATTTCAGGCTGCTTGTATTCCAGGAAAAATCCTCAGTATTTGTGGCTGTGAGATCCTTCATTTTCAGGCAGGAGTGGAGCACAGACCCCGATGAGCTTTTGTACTGTACATGTGCTTAACCCAACTGTAAATAAAACCCGAACTGGTTTAAAGACAAGACCGAGGACTAGTGCTTGCCCTGCCTGTCTTTTCCTGGGCTGCTGCGTTTCGGTGTGAGGCCAAAGCGAGGGCGAC